GTGGGAAATAGAACAACTCCCCTAAGGATCCACACCCTCAAAAACAAGGGTTTGCTTCTTGGAGTGAAGCTTGTAAAGCGATCGAGACTGGGAAAGTCGAGCTTGAGATCGTTCTACACCTACCTACGGGTGCCCTGTCTGGAGACCTGTTTACGTAGGGTGGGGTAGTCTAGCCAGGACACCCATTGGATGATCCTGGTATGAACTTCTTCATCTTCCCTAAATTCCTCAAACAACAATCTTCTCAAGAGCTTTGGAAAGGAGAGAAGGTCAAAACAAAGGCATGGCCCAACCACACTCTGCCGAAATCGCCACGAAACCCAGCTGCTAGAGCTGCTTTTTGCGGTGAAACCTCTCGTTGCGTCGCTCTTCGTTTCCAGCGCTTAGGTCGAACAGTCCGCGTGTCGTGCGCGAAAAAGGGACCATGTCTTCCATGTCTTCGACATTCAGTGGTTGAAAAGGCCAACAAAAAGTGGAGGCATCAAGAAGTAATACATGTGGAAACATGTGCAGCATCTGGGTTCTCGTTGTTTCTATGATCTTCCAAAAGAAGTGACAGTGAGGCTGTCTTGTGTAGCATGTGAGTGAAACCGCTGTGCAGCCTGGATCCCTCTGAAGCAGTGACACGTTGAAAAAGAAACACCCTCGAAGTACTATTGACAACAACAGCATGATTATTTTTGCAATTATATGAAGTCCACATCGTCCAAGTGCCTTCCCACTGGTGGTTGTTGAGGTCAAGTAGCCCCAACAAACAGTCCTGAGCCTGGTGGTTGCCCATGTTCGGGGAAATATTTCTCTTCAATAGATACATAGGGCATCTTCTCTCGTGGCCCAAGAACAGCATGAAACTGAGGCTACCTGGAGTCTCAAAGAATAGTACCTCTGAAGATGAGTGCAAGTATATAGTAGTATATACCTGCTTTTTGTTTTGGTCATGTCCGGTCATGCCCATTTTATAGGGTACTTGAATTCGGATCCAGTACGTAGTTCAGAGGATCCACTTCGTTAGCACTCCAACGAACCCCCAAAGAACTCCTAGCTTTTTCTGGCAAAAGAGAATCGGATCGCCGACGCTGACGGGTCTTCAGTGCCGTCGGTTTTCACCTGTGGGCTGCTGGTTTTCTCCGGTTCGCACGCTGAAGAGCGTGCGCGACAGCGCTCAGTGGCGCAGTTCCGGGCGGCGTTCTCCGATCCAAGCACCAGAAATGCAACTGAAAACCCCGCGCTCAGTAGCGGCCAGTGGGCCGTTCCAGCGGCCTGCGGGTTTTTTTTAAGCGGAGCTGGGGGATGGAGACAAACCATAGGACGATGGGTCCAAAGCAAGGGGCTCCAGGTTTGGCCCCTCCCCAAGATTTCGAAGACCTGGTCAACTGGGAGTGTTATTCATCAACTGTCTACATAGATTAGAACTACAGTCCTTAACTACATGGATCCAACGCTCCAACAAACGATCGAGTTACACCTGAATGGACGGATCAAGTCACTATGGTCGGGGCCGTTAAACAGTGAAACTGGTATCACAAGTAGGCAACAATGCACTCACATGCACAGAGGGTGCCAATGTTGATCAATGTTGATACGCACGCATGACACTTGCACTGCAAGCAGTGCGCAGCAGTGTACTCTTTTCACTGTCTTGATGGCTTCTTGCCATGGAATCGGTGCCTCGTCGTACTTTAGCTGAGGATGGAAAAGTAGCAGTGGCTTTCCGGAAAGGATACACTTACTCGGCAGTCACCCAGGTGGTCCTTGGGCCACCTAAGACCCTTGCTACAGCCATTTCAGTACCCAGTACCCGGAGCCTTCTTTCAGAAAGGCCAGACGCAAAGAGAAGGCACACACACCTTCCAACCCAAACCGCATTGACTCCGAAGAACGCTTGACCGCCCTCCGCACCGCTGTCCCGGTGCAACCCGAGGTTGGAGTCTACAAGGCCAAGGGTTCGGCACCCTGTTGGATTCCAACATCTGTGAGCTGGGAAAAACCTTGTTGTCTGTCTGCTGTAAGGATTTAGTCTGTGATCATGATCCTTTTGTCCAGCTACCAATGTTCCTTCTGTCTTGTGTCTTGACAGAATTACGGCTTGAGAATGATCCCTCTGAATCCTAGAACGTGCAGCACTGACTATATGTATGTATGTTTCCAGACTAAATATCCAACAAGTCAACTTGTGTGTATATATATATGCATTGTTTTTGACTACCGTCTATTGTTGGCCACTGCAGAAGACTGAATACTTCATCCTCTGCATGCAACACAAACACTCAGCTCTTCATCAACCGCTCAGTGCACCTGATGGTCTTCAGCTTTGACAGTTCTGGATCAAACGACAGACATGAAATTCATGCTTGGATCTCTATTCCCATACAAAAACAACCTTAAAGACATGTGCGGGGGACAAAACAGCAGTACTTGTAAGTGTTGTACGTGTTTAGATCTCTTGAACGTTCGAAAACAACAAAGAGGTGGCACCAGGTTCAGACTGAGTGTCGGTTAACGAAAGACTGGTGAAAGTTCACTTCTCAGGCGGCATTGGTCTCATTGGTGGCAGCGCCGCTGGTGGCCACACCAGGTGTTGATGAAGGCTCAACCACCTGTGGGATGAGTTGGAACTCCAACGCAGGGGTTGGCTCAACCAGCATGAAGGAAGCATGCGAAACAAACCCCAAGGGACTCCCCGGCCCAAGAGCAGGATGTTCAACGACTAGGAGCAGGATGTTCAACGACTAGGTGTCTCGACCAACAGCCGTGGTTTCAATCACCTTGCTGTTGACCAAAGGAATCAAGCTACGCACGGTGAAACCTCGGTCTTGAGGCCCAGGTGTAGTTCTTCTGTTTCTCAGGTGGGCCTCAGTTTATTGCTTAACTCTGGGGCCATCGAATACAGTTATGGGTTGGGTATGGCAGGGTATGGGTTGGGTATATCATGGTTTATCCCGTTAACAGGGCCCAGTGGATGAAGATGGCGCCTGGTTGCAGGCCGACCTGTAAAAACATCGTGATGCCGGCGGAACAGCGGAAACTGGGACACCAGCAGACTGCGGGATTTGTTCGCTGGCACACCTCAAGGTACTTCTGCGTTTTCGCAAAACACCAAGAGTCAACCATCCCTACTTGAGATACCTGGTTCCATTTAGAATGGATCGGCCAGCACCTTCATTGATTGAAACACATTCCAATTAGTCCAACAATCTATATGATGAATGCAAAGAAGCACCTACAAATGTTACGGGGCCTTGTTTGCCTCAGTGGACTGTGAGACTATTGAACCTTGAACATGTCCCACATGTCCTGTTTTCTGATATCAATGCTCAAACAGGATTTGTTTCATGTGTTTTTTCCTTTTCCGACCAAGATTGGAGCGTGACGAGTATGTCTATACCGGAAGACCCAGCAGATTGATCACCCTGCGATGTGATGAACCAGCCCTGCCGTCCAGCCCTGCATGAAAAAACCACCTGCGCATCCACGACCACCGCTTCCACCACCGGCACACTGCTGGGTTGGGCCACCACCATCCCTGGCCTTGGGACGAAGCATCAGAGAGCCCTGAAATCCAACGAGAGTTCGTTCGCACGCTAATTCTCATGCGTTGACATATTAAACCTCCCCAGCAGAAGGGTCTGACATCTCAATGGGGGGTCTTATCAAACGACAATTCACCCAAAAAGCAATTAAGTTAAGTTCAGAGTCCATCTCTTATCTTGGAGTGTATTTTGGGATTGCTGCAAGAAACCACCTGCGAGTGCTCCAAGTTGCTGCCCCATCTGCTGCCCCATCATCGCGCTCATCTGTGCCATCATGGCCTGGACCTGCCATCATCGTCCGCGAGAAGATGGAGACGGGGCGAAACACCGAAGGTGAACACTGGTGGCAAATGTCTCACCCACGCACCACGCATCATAAGTTGTAAAGGACGGTTCAAAACAACATTGTGTTTGAATTTCAAACTACATAATAATCAAGTCAACTCCATTGAATCGTGTTTTAATCATTCTGAACATTCGTATTGACTATGGTTTTTTATTGACGTCATGTCTGTTTCTGGTTGAGCCACGAGTGAATCTCTGGAACCACCGAACCCAAGCTTCGGCATGGTGAACGTCCGAAAGCGCGACTTCGGCCAGTGGCGGACGACGGTCGGGTTCACCATCGATACGCGACGAAAACCATCACCGGCCGTCATGGACCGGTCATGGACCGGCCGAATGGGCGGTTTTTGGCATCGAAGGTCCGATTTTGAAGACATGCCCTGCTCTAAACTGCTCTTTGCCCGGTTTGCCCTGCTGGGGAAAACATTGAAGTCTCCAGGTGGTGCTGCAGCTGGACGTCCAGTGTCCATGTCCTTGTCGTTTATTTCCTTCGAACTCTTTGCCGTGGCTTCCTAGTTTGTCTTTTTTTCAGGACTGATTGCCAGTGATTTTCCGAAGCGTTTTCACTGGTTTCATGGGTTCCTGCTTCGAACCCCCATTGAAATACCCTTGGAATGCGCACTTCGGACTTCTGGGACGGGTCACTGGCAGGTCCACCTTTACAGCAACCAAGCCCGAGGGTTCTTGCGCTGTCCATCAGTCCGTGGGTCGGCGGTGCGGAGTTCGGTGTCCAAATGCATGAGCACCGCGGCTATATAGGTGATGTTGTTATAGTTCTGCCTTCGGGTGGTGGGCAGGTGGATGGGTGTAGAGTGGTAACCTTTCGAAGGGAAGAAAAGGCGCCTGCTGGCGTGCTGCTGGCTGATTGTGTTTTGCGTGCCTTCGCTAAAACTGTAGGTATACCCGGTATACCCAACGTTAAACTATAATCTTCAAACTCCTGGTCGGGTACTGTGCGTACCCCACCTGAAGCAAAGATATTGCAGAAGTGTCAAGCCCAAAGCAGGTGGTTCAAAATGAGCTTCGACTTGGATAAATCAACTGGACTGGTGCGTCGTCTCGCAGGGTGGCTGAGGGTGGCTGGGGGGCTCATTAGAGTCTCTATTGGGGGCTCATTCCCTGATTCCCTACTTTCGTCGCACCAGTCAGTCAACTGGAGCTCTTTGCCCAAGTCTCAGGGAGCCGAAGATCCATTCGTGGCCAGCTGGGTTCCTCGTTGAAGGCGATGTGACTCCACTCCAGCCATTGGGGAACAGACCCAGCACCACACGATCGAAAGCCAGGGGTGACATGTGGCTTGAAAAAGCCACATGTCACTTCTACATACCCAGCTTTTTATGATCATTGTGAGGTGTTTTGGGGGCCTCCTCTTACTCAAAGAGAATGTATCGTCAACTGTCATTGTCATTGTCGCGGCCTGTGAGTCTCTACTGCTCCCCAGAAGTGGCCGACGGCGACATGTCGAGGATGTCGGTGACGAGCACAGGGAATTGTTCTTTCTCCGCCTTCGGCGAAGTGGTGAGACAGATTCACCGTACGCGAACCTCTTCCTTGGATTGGCTTGTAGAAGGAGCCTAGAACAAATAAACAATATATTCTCTATGATTTACCCATAGGGAGCATAAAGAATTACCTGATCCGTAAAACCCAGTCCTCCCTGGAGGTTTTTCCACCGTTCTGTTCGCAAACAGAGCCTGTGGGTCGGCCAGCATCTGCTGCTGAGCTTGCGCCAGTTGCGCCTGAAGCTGGGGGTTCGTCAGCATCTGCTGCGTCTGCTGCTGGGCGTGGGCCAGTTGCGCTTGAATCTGCGGATCCTGCGGGCTGAAGACACCCTGGGAAAATAATGGAACATCCGATTGGGCGCAACTAGGAGATTCTTACGAAAGACTGCTACCTAGTATACCTTGAGTGAAACCAACCAAGAACCGACTCCACTTTAAATGGGAAGTACACGATGGAATGAGACCCGTCAAACGCGAGAGGACTTTGTCTGTGTTACAACATCGGAATGGAATCTTCTCATGTCACACAAGTAATACAATATATCTTAGGTCTACAGAATCCTAAATATCTTGGCATAGCCACATGAGATAGGCCGACGGCCGATGGACGCATGTGCATGTCGTGCTCGCTCGTTCTCCCGACAGGCCTGGTGCATCCGCATCGCCTGATCCAGCGCCCTCTGTATGTGGTCAGCTTCTGAGATGTGCGAGGAAGGCCCGGATGTTCGACGGGATCTTCGGATTTTGGGGTGACCCAAAGCTCCCAACTACTTAGGTGGTTGGGGTCGGGGTGGGTGCCAGGGGGTATTGATCCAACCCCACAGTCAGGCGCGGTTGATGGAGCCATGTCCAAACCACTGGTGCAGAGGAAAACAACCGGACACGACCCGTTCGACGACACGAGTGCGGATTCAAACACGACCGGTTTCACTGCCTGACTCCAAGAAACACGAAACCGGAAGTGCTTGAGAAGAAGGGGTCAATGCAAGTTTTAGGGCATCTGGGTGACCAGTGATGCCCTTGGACTTTAGCTGGAAGCCCCAAAAAGTGCCAGTGGGTATGGTCACAAGCTGCTGACCAGTGGTTCCAGGCAACGACGAACACCGCCTGGATCCGTGTTCTTCGTCGCCGGACCCGTCCAAAAGCAGTGAGTGCCCTCCCTAAGAATCCCATCTCTGTGGCACTCTGCCCTGGTGAGGTGTGGGTCACATCACACGTTGGGTGTATCCTATTCCTTCGGGCCCAGTGGATGATGGGGCCTGGGGCCTGGTAGGCCTTCCTCAAGGTCAAAACCACACGTGATCATTGTTGACCGACTGTTACAGGCAATAGGACAACCCCCCAAAAAAGAACTAACACAGAACTATTCTATTCCAGGAAGGGTGTGGTGTGATGGAAAGACGCCTCTTCCGTCACCATGGGCTCCTGTTGAGGCATGTTTTCACCCATGAAAAACCTAATGTTTTATGCATTCTTTGGGGTGGGATCCCTACGAAACATCCATGTCTTCCTGCTGCTTCTGAAGCCGGGGAAACAAGCAAAACAGATGCCAAAAAATGCCAGGAGATTGACCCAGGAACCGGGAAAATAAACAATCACCCTTTATATTTTTTTATATGCTATTATATCTGCGGGCAATGAAAAGCCCATGCCATCCAATGTTTTCGAAAGGACGAAACGCGATGAACATTCCGCGTCGTTCGAACGTTTGGCTCAAGAAAGAGGCGCGTGCATGTGCGCTTCGGTTTTTTCATTTACCCGCTCACAGGTTATGAGCCCAAGCTTGCCATGTCGATGTCGACTTTGAGAAGAAGGAGATCTGAAGCTTCCAAGCGGGAAGAGGAGGGCACCCTGGAGATCGGGGTAGCGGACAGAAGACTCGACGCCTTTATCGAGGAGGAGGTGCGAAGAACGAGGTCGGCTGACGCGGGTCCGAGAAGATCCACGGCAGAGGCTAGCACCCCGCAAGGCCGACCAAAGGCCCTTCGACCAAGTCCGTCACAAGAGCCCAGAGACCGGACTGCAGCTGCTGGGGGAGAGCCGACGGATCCCTCATCTCTGAAGTCTATGAAGCCGGTGGATCCGGCTAGGTCGCTGTCGGTAGACCCTGGACATGATCTTCCTCATGGGGGTTTGGGGGCACTTCATGATGCGGTTCAACAAACTTATCATGTATTACGGCAAGCACTAGGTCAGCACCTTCAAGGGCAAGGGCTATTAGGACCTCTTGGACCTCCCATCGATCAACCTGCTCATGGAGGGCTGTTTGGTGATGGCCGGATGCAGGTCGACCCTCGTACACTGGAATATGGTTCCGGGGGAGCTCAAACCCCGGTGCGACCGCAGGAGCCTAATCCCTTTTGGAGCCCAGCTTTGCAGGACACGATGAGGAGGGCATCTTCGGGCCTGAGTGGAGATCTATCTGGAGGAGCTGATTCTCGACGCCTTCATGTACCAGGTGGTGAACCTGTCCCGCGGGTCATAGCTGAAGGGAATGCTATGCCGGCAGCGGCCTCGGGATCGCCGGTGCGTGATGATGTGGAAGCCCTGAGAACCCGCATCCTCAAGGAGGCGGAGGAAAACTTCGATCGGGAGGTCAAACGTCTCTTGGCAGCTAAGGAACCGGCGGACACGACCTCCTACAAGACTGCATCAAGTGGGCCTCAGACAGGGGTGGACTCGGAGACCTATGCTGGACCTGAACGACCACCTGGACTTCATCATGGTGACCTGGGTGGTAAGGACCGAGGACCGGATCTGAGTTCGAAGGTCGTTCGTGTTGGTGGTGCAGCGACTCCGGCGGCAATGGCTGAAGCCTTGAGAAACTTGGAACTTCCTCCCTTGCCATCACCCAACTCCGAGGGGGCATCTATCCTCTTTGGAGACTGGCTGACGATGAGCTTCCCGCTGATGGCTGACATCTCAAATAGTGCCAAGGCCTGGTGGGAGGAATCGCTGACCATTGCGCAGGACCACTATGCTCGCTGGTTGACGATGAGTCCATTGGAGCGTCTGAGAGCGAAGCCGGTGGTGGTGGTGGAACCTGCCCTACAGAGGATTGAACAGCGTGGCATCGCAATGTTGTTGGGGGCATTGCCGGATCAGCTCCGACGTGACCTCGTCAGTGGACGGCAGCTCTCGGTCGTCTACATCCTGTACAAGCTACATGTGACGTACCAGCCGGGAGGAGGCGCTGAAAAAAACGCAACTCCTCAAAAATTTAGTGGAGACGAAGTTTGCCACTCAAACATCGGAGTTGCTGACGCAGGTCCGGTTGTGGCGACGATGGCTTGCACGTGCACAAGAGCTCAACCTCGCTCTACCTGACCCTGTGGTTCTCATGGTCACTGTGCAACGCATGATTGAGAGCGCCACCAAATCAGGCGGGGCTCAAATGGCATGTCGAATTGCCAACGTACGGCAAGAATTGAGAGTTGATTATGCAGCTACAGTGGAGGCTGTCATGGAGCTCTCGGAGTATGTGCAGGCGGAGGTGGAAGAAGTTTCGCTGACTACACCCATGAAGTTGCAGCCGGCGACCACCAATGCTGGAGCAGCAGGAACTCAGACGACCACGTCTGTGAAGGCCATGGCATCAGCGTTCGGGGCGGTGGACTCCGATGATCGACCTTCGCAGAAACTGGCCTGCAAGTTCTGGAAGAGTGATGAGGGTTGTAAACGTGGCAGCAGTTGCACCTACGCCCATGATGAAGGGTCGTTGCTTCAATTGTGGAGGACTTCACATGAAGAAGGACTGTCCAAATGGGGCGAAGGGTGTGAAGCCGGACGCCAAGAAGGTCTCAAAGGTGAAGACTGTGAAGGAAGGGGAGAACGTGAATGGGGGTGAGAAGAATGTCAAGGGAGGCTCTCCTGGTGATGAACCAGCTGACGAGAATGTGAATGTCCCTTTG